GGCGTGGGGGCGCTGCGGGGCGGAGGCCTGGCCGGGCCTGCGGAGGCAGGCGGGCGGCAGCTGTGTGGGTTGGGGGTGCCTGAGAAGAGTCGGATGTGGTGCGCGGCGGCGTCGGGAGGAGGAGCGGGCTGAATGCCCGAAGGCGCCGCACAGAAGCTGAGGGAGGGGGTTGGGGTCCGGGGGGGCAGCGGGACTTGCGGGGGGTGCTGGTGGAGGTTATGGGGTGCGAGCGGCCCTATAGGGGGTGGCAGGGGCGAGGCGGGGCTAGGAGAGCACCGGCGGCTGGTTGCCTGCAATACGCCTTGTAGGTCGGAGACCTGAGGGTGTTTAGGAGCCCCGGAGTCCTAGAGGAAAGGAGGGGCTTTCGGTGTTTAGGGGGGCTCTTGCGGGCTGAAGGGGGTAGTCCCCATTGTTTCCTACTGGCGGAACTGGTGCCCAGCTCTTGTTGCGCAGATAGGATTTCAGGCAGCAAGCCTTTTGTGTTTATGGGCAGAGGGAGCGGACTTGAGTGAGTGGCTGGGGGAGGGGAACGCGAAATGATTGCTCTACGGTTACGCGGCTCCGGGCAGTGGCTTGTCTCGTTCCCCTGTCGCTCACTCCCCTTTCTCTTTCGTTGTCCCCTTTCCCCTCAGAATCAACCCAAGTCACTCCAACTTGCTGCCCCAGCTTAGAAAAGCTGCGCTGTATTTGCAAACAAAAGCTCTTGTTGGAGATGAAGATACTCTTCGGGGTGTGAAACTGTCAGTTGCTAACTAGGATCTGGAAAATGCTGTAATTAACTCCAGCAGGGACTCCTCCCAAGTAGTCTACGTTCCTTTTTTTTTTTTTTTTAATGTAGAGCTATAACTTACAAATCTAAATTGGGAAGGGGTAGGAGGAATATTCCCTTCTCTGAGACAAAGCTTCAGTGCAGGTGTCAGTTCAGGAGGGGAGCAGTTGTTACACAGACTGTCTGATTTTGCGTTTAAGGAGATGGGTCTTAATGTGAGTGATAGTGACATTTAGTCTTTAGAGGTTGTCTTCATCCTCTTAGTTTTCAGTAAGTCTCCCTGTATGAACTACATGATGTTGTGATTATAAGATAAGCCTACTGATAAAGAAAAGTGTTAAAAGTGTTTTCAGACACGGATAACAGGTCAAGATTTCGAAATAAGGTTTTGCTTGTGAGCAATGTGATGGTCAGACTTCTTTTTAAAAGGAAAACTTAACAAGCATTTTCTAATGAACTGAGATACCTTTTGACTTTATTGAGTTCAAGATACTTTGGGGTACAGCAAAAATCACAGATTAAAGTAATGTATTTTGGGGAAGAAATGTAAGGATTAAAAAATGAAGTGACAAAAGAATTGGCTTTGTTTTATGGGCTTTTGTAAATTAAGTTTTTGTTACTAAATTTAGTAGATTTCAGTTTGGGGGGAAATTTGAAAATGGAGGAGGTTGACCAGTTTATTTTTTGTGGTTATGAACTTTTTTTTTTGGTACCGGGAATCGAACTCAGGACCTTGCGCTTGCCAGGCAGGCGCTTCTGCCGCTGAGCTATATCCCTGGCTGACTAGTTTATTTTTAAAGTAACTGTTAGATTTAGTGTTAGATTTAGTTTTTCAGGTGATTTTGAAAGTCACGGATTTTTCGTTTTTACATAAGTTCCTTTTAAAAATTAATGTTTTAAATTGTGTATTTCTTGGGGGAAAAAAGTATATATATTGGAAGATAGCTAAAGCTTTTTCTTTTTTTCTTTTTTTCTTTTTTTTTTTAATCTAGGCTGGCCTTAAACTCAAACCAATCAGTCCTGAGTGCATGCACCACCACATCCAGCTTCTTGACTTTTTCAAGCAAAATACTTTGACATGTACACATCCCTTGACTCGTTTTAAGTGACAAAATTTAAGGGTAAAAATAATATTTTTCTTAATAAAGTTTAACTTTCTGTAGTGGAAATTCACTTGATCTTAGCCAGAAGGCCCAGAAGCAATTATAGTGGAAATTCCCAAAATTTTTTTTTTCTGAAAGCAGAATGTTCAAGTCAGAAGCTCATTTAACTTTTCAAAGGACTCTTGGTTGCTGTCAGAAATGTAAAAAGTTGCCAGGTGTAATGCTGCAGTGTGATCCCAACACTGGGGAAACTAAAGACAAGAGGATGCTCCAAGTTGGAGGCCAGCCTGGACGCTACATATTGAGACCCTGTCCAAAAAAATGTGTGTGTGTGTATATGTGAGTGTATGTATACATATATATGTGTATGTGTATATATATATAAATTAATGAATTGTTTTTCCTTGTTCAACTCCAGATTTACACTAAGTAAACTGATACTTTATTGGGTTGTAATGCAATTAAGTATAATGAATCACTGACTTTTAGAGGTAGCAGAGACTTGTAGAGAAGTTATCAAGGAGGAAAAAGGAAGGGAACATTGTCATTTGACAACCAGTGCTAATTTAATCATAGTATCTTTCTGTGTGATTTTTCTGTGTGTGGGTTGCTTTGACTTCACAGATTTAAATGTTTGACATTCATTGGCTCACTGTAGATGAGTTTTTTGGGAGTAGTTCATTTGTCTTTTCTAGTTTGGCTAGTGATTTGTCCTAAGTGTAGCAGTAGTATTCATTAAAAACTGACTTAAAGGAGTTCTTTGAAAGTGAAACAAAAATTTTTTCCAACTTTCCTGTTTCCTAATTTAATTTTTCTCTTTGTTTCAGATTCAAGTGAGTGAATTCAGATATAACTGAAGCTTGTTAGAGGGCTTTTTAAAAATAAAAAATTGATTCCGTGCATGAGAGCAAGTTACTGCTGCTTACCGTTCAGAGACTTACAGGTGCTTGCCTGCATTGCAATAAAGGACTCATATATTGAGCAAGACTTATATTTATCTCTTCATTTTGGAGAGCCTAATAAACTGTTATTACAGTTTCTCTACTGACTTTCAAAAGTTTTGAAGTTTGAAAGAGACATCTTTGCAATTAACACAGCATGAGCACGGCCAGAACAGAGAACCCTGTTATAATGGGTCTGTCCAGTCAAAATGGTCAGCTGAGGGGCCCTGTGAAGCCCAGTGGTGGCCCCGGAGGAGGGGGCACACAGACGCAGCAACAGATGAACCAGTTGAAAAACACCAACACAATCAATAATGGCACTCAGCAGCAAGCACAGAGTATGACCACCACTATAAAGTAAGTGCTAGAAAATAATAAACAAACTTGGGGAACCAGGGTTTCTTTTTGTTACTAGCTACCTTGTACCTTAAACATTTTGATTGCAAATAAAGTATAGTTTTATGGTTAGTAGGTATTTGCAATAGAATAACATTTCTGTCATAATTAATTTAGCAGGTAATGAACAGTTGGTAGGCACAGATAATGCATGTTAGTTTTGTATAGATTATAGCTTTTTTAGAAACAATTGCCGTTTTCATTATTGGCTCGTTGTAGAAATGACTAACTGAATTTATATATAAATGAAATCAGATTTTTTTTATTAATATTTTTCTAATAACCCTGCACCTTCCCCTAGTTTAAATGGCAGCTAGAGGAAATTGAAACTTTTTTAAAAAAACTTTTTAAAAAGCAAACTTTAGGTTAAAGATACGGCTAGCCTTGTGAACTCTTCAAGTGTATTTATTCAGAAAATTTATCCATAACTGTGGAAATTCACTTTCCTACTTTTTATATTTTTTTCTTCACACAAAATAAATTGGAGGAGCTGGGGATATATAGCTCAGTTGTAGAGTACTTGCCCTACTATGCTCAAAACACTTGGGTTAGTGTCCCCAGTACTGCAAAATCAATCACAGAAAACAGGAGTTTTGAGTTTTTTGGGAACACTAGTACCCAGTATTTAAAAAAATATTTCTAAGAATTCAAGAACCTGAGTTTTCAGGATTCATTTTATTCATTCACTCACCCACTCATTTGTTTGTACCATGGACCAAACCCAGGGCCTCACACAAGCTCTTACCATTGACCATCCCCAGGCTTTCTCCTTTTTAAAAAAATTTTTTAAAATTTTGAGACAAGGTCTCAAAAGTCTGAGCTGACCTCACTCTTGTGAAGTAACAGGGAGTATATGCATGTACCACCATCTCTGGCAGAAACACTTATTTTTGTCTGAAACCCCTTTGTTGCTAAAACATAAGAGCCTCGTTTACAAGTAGACATTTTTTTATGTGTGTGTGGTATTGGGGATTGAACCCAGGACCTGGCATATGCTGTGCAAGCACCGTACCACTGATCTAAAGCCATAGCCCATTACAGAGTATTTTTAAAACTGAATTTTTAGGCTGTCATCTTTTGTTGCTTTAAATTATTTGGATGGTAACTTACTATAAAAGAGTTGTTACACAGAATTGACATTTAAGATTTTGGATCTCAGTTGGAGTTTGACTTTTGTTAAAAATTTTTAGTTAAAAATCTTTAGCTATATCTAAAATGATTTAAGAGAAATCTTCATAAGATGATGATACTTAGGTTTACTGAGTCAAAGTGTGTTTTATTATCATCTAGATGAATGACAGCAAAGCTTTCAGAGCTTTCAGTGTTCTAGACAGCCCATCGCAGCATGCGTGCCGAAGGTTCACCACCAGTGATGTAGACCTTTTCACTTCCTGGTGGAAAATAGTCTTTATAAGCTACTATTACAGATGATTACTGTTGAGTAGTTGACTAGTGACTATAGAGATTAATTCTCAAAAGAATTGGTTTGATCCCTGGAAGAACTGGCTTTAGTGCTTCGTTTTTTTGTTTTTGTTTGTTTGTTTTTGAAACAGGTTCTGTGTAGTCCAGGCTAGTCTTGAACTCATTATGTAGCCCAACCTGGCCTTGATTTGGTTGATTCTTCTGCCTCAGCCTCCCAAGTGCTGGAATCACAGGGTTTTGCCACCATATCCAGCTTAGTGCATTTTATTTTTAAGGTGAATCCTTTTAGTGGTATAGAAATGAAGAGTCTTTCTTGAATTGTAGTTTGTCTTGACAAAATATGAATAGGCTAGAAAAATTTAGGCTACTTTTAGTTCTTAAGGATAAAACTATTTCACAGTTTTTGGTTGGTTGGTTGGCTTTTAGTGGTTATTGAACCCCGGGGCATTGGCAACAACCTCAGACCTTTTAAATTTTGAGACTGAGTTGCTAAGTTGTCCAGGCTGAACTAGAACTCTTAGGTTCAACTCTCAGCTTCCTGAAGAGGTTAGACTTAACAGGTTTCTTTTTTTTTGTTTGGATGATGTCCTGGTTTTTAGAGATGTAGTTCAGGCTGACCTCAGTGGTGATCCTCCTGACTCAGCCTCCCAGGTGCTGGGGTTATAGGTGTGAGCCACCATGACTACCCTCAGGCATCTTTGGTTTTAATTAGTTAACCAGGAATTAACTAAGATCCCTATAGGTGACTGTGTAATGGGGGCAGTTAAGGTGGGCATGGGTGTGCATGCCTTTAATCCCAGCTGCCCAGAAGGTTGTGGCAGGAGGATCACAAGTTTGAGTATGATCTGGACAATTCAGCATAACTGTCTCAAATCATAAAGGGCTGGGAAGTAGCTCTGTGGTAGAGCCCTTTTCTAGGATGTGGGAGTCCCTGGGTTAAAAGCTCCAACACTATAAGACATACTACTTGATTTTAACCTCTAGTTGCTAAATTCTGCCAAACGGTTATCACTTAACAATTTGGAACAGTGTTACTAAAACTCATACTTTTCTTTTTTTGTGCTTTTTCCTCCTGTTCCCCTCTCCCTCTCCTCCTCCCTGTCCCTTTCCTCTAGTTTCTCCTCCTCTCCTTTTGTCTCCCCAGCCCTTCCATTTTCCCTTCCCCTTCTTCCTTCCTCTTCCTTTCCCCTCCTGTTGCTGGTGCTGCGGGTCAAACCCAGGGCATCTTCTAGTTTCTCAGGAATATCCAGAATATAAAGTTTTACTTGAAATCTCCTAGTTTTTAAATGTTGGCAGCTAATTAAAATTAAAAGACTATTAAAACATACATTTTGACAGCATTTGCACTATATATTACCCTGCATCTTGTAGGAGGATAGATACTCTAGACCATTCTTTTCTTGATTTTTGATCCTTCCTAGATTGTTTTTCCTAACACTAATTTCTCTAAAGCTTGTTTCACTGTCTGATTAACTATGTTCTTGAGTGCGTGGATGTATGTTAAACTTACTGTGCTTTTATTTCTTTAATTTTATTTATTTTTGTAGTATTAAGGATTGAGCCCAGGGCCTTTGCACTGAGTGACACCCCCAGCCCTTTATTTTTTTATTTTGAGACAAGGTCTTGCTAAATTGCCCAGGCTTAATTTAAACTGGGATCCTCCTGCCTTGGCTGCCTGGAATGCCAGGATTACAGACATCCCCCAGCATGCCCAGCTTTACTGTGCCTTTTAGAACTTAATTATACTTGGTGGATCATCTTTGCATTATTAGGTACAACACTGTATTTTGATACTTCACATTTAGTGTATTCTCTCTAGGCCTGGTGATGACTGGAAAAAGACTTTAAAACTCCCTCCAAAGGATCTAAGAATCAAAACCTCGGTAAGTTGGTTATAGATTTCAGGTGGGAAAATTAGAGTTACTTGTAATAACATTAGATAATACATGTGCACTCTTCAGTAGGTTGAAATGATTAATACTATATAAGCCACATAATAGATTGCCAAAATTTTCCACCATTTTTTGGTAGAAGATGTAGTAAAGTTGTATATGTTTAATATGTTTAAACATACGCACATCTTACCTAATTTTCTCAAAAATTTCTGTTGTTTGCAGCAACCCAGTGAGATACTCAGTGAAATATGCAGGTTAGGGGCTGGGGATTTAGCTCAGCGGCACAGCGCTTGCCTGGCAAGCACGAGGTCATGAGTTCAATTTCCAGTATCGGAAGCCCCCACACACAAAAGAAATACTCAGGTTAGGTATTATGCCCACTTTGTGGATGAGAAAACAAGAGAAGTTCTCTTAACTCAAAAGAACGTTTTCAACGGAGGTGATTCTGTCCCCTAGAGGGCATATAGCATCAGGTAGAAGCATACTTGATTGTCAGCCGTGCATGAATGCTACAGGACAGCCTCTTGAAGCAGAATTTTCTGGTTCCAGTGTCAGTAGTGCTGAGCTTGAGAAACCCAAACATATCCAAATACTGGTAGCTAAGCTAATGAATGGTAGAGCTAGGGTCTGACTTTACCTTTTGTGATGTGATATATGATACACTTTTATGGAAATAACAGTGTACTACCAGTTTCTAGAAGTCTGACCACAGAGCTATCCCCCAATTTTATTTATTTATTTATTTTTTTGTATTACTACAGATTAATACCAGAGGCATTGTACTACTACACTGCATTTCCAGATGTTTTAAATTATGAGACAGGGTCTCACTAAGTCACTAATTTGCTGAGACTGTCTTGAACTTGGTGATCCTTCTGCCTCAGCCTCCCAGAGTACTAGAATATGAGTGTGGGCTACCATGGTTGGCTCTGGCAAATTCCTAAGCGTGCTAATTACCAGATAGCACAGTTGTACTTTATTTTATTGTTGTTTGTTTATTAGGATGTGACCTCCACAAAAGGAAATGAGTTTGAAGATTACTGTTTGAAACGGGAGTTATTGATGGGAATTTTTGAAATGGGCTGGGAAAAGCCATCTCCTATTCAGGTATGTTTATTCTTTTTGTCACATAAGGTTATATGTTATGCATTATGTACTTTCCTTTTTTATATCTAGGAGTAGTGGCATATTTCTCACAGACATATACAAATATACATATCCACAAACTATTTTCTGAACTTTTTCTCTCTTTTTGCACTAGGGATCAAATCAGGACAGGGGTGCTCTCAACCATCCCCTGTTCCTTTTTTATTTATTTATTTTTCTTTTGAGATAAGGTCCTGCTAAGTTGCCCTGACAGGACACAGACTTAATCAGTCTGCCTCAGTGCTGAGATTGCAGATGTGTTCCACAGTGCCTAATTTTTTCTGAACTTCTTAACATTAAATGACACAGTCATGTCCATTTAAAGCTAACATTTTATTCTAATTACTAATTGACCCAAAAATATCCCTTATAGCATCTATTCCCTCTTGTACAGGAGCTAGTCTAAGATTAGATATAGCTTTTATAGGTTCTATGTTTCTTTAACCTGTTGTTTGTATGTATGTATATAGAGACAGGATCTTTCTGTGTAGTACAGGCTGGCCTTTTGAGCTCAGCAGTCTTCCTGCCTCAGCTTCCCAAGGGCTGAGGTTACAGCTGTGTGCCACCATGCTAGCTAACCTTTTTTAGTAATGGGGTTTTTTTGTTTGTTTGATTTGTTTTTAGTACTGGGAATCGAATTCAGGGCCTTACATTTGCCAGGCAGGCACTGAGTCACTGAGCTACATCCCCGACGCTAACCTATTTTAATTGTGAGACTTGCCCCTACACTTACTTTTTTCTTTTATGGAATTCACATTAAAAATACACACCCTTTTCTTTTTCTTGCTAGAACATTGCTTGCTGTGGGTCTGTCTGATGCTTCGTTCTTGTTTTTTGATGCCAGAAATTGAACTCAGGACTTTGCACTTGCCGGGCAGATTCTGTGCTGCTGAGCTATATCCTCAGCCCTGGTGTTTTTATATGAATAGGTTCAAGTTAAGCTTTCTCAGTAGGATCCTGCAGAAGTCATGTTAGTCTTCTCAGGATGTTGTATCTGAAAGTATACATAGTGTCCATCTAATTCAAATTGGTAATACTTATTACTTTGCCAAGGTATCGTCTATTTTTTTTTTCCTTGTATGTAGTTTTTTTTTTCTCCAAAACTAGCAAGCAGTCTATTGAAGATCATGTAGGTGTCTGCTGTTCATCAAAATTTCATTTGTTAAGCCTACTTTGGTTTTTGCTCATTCTCATCTTTGATGGGTTACGATGAGTTTCCAGTTCTAGCACTTCCTCCATATCAGCCCCTATAAAGAAGAGTTTTCCCATACCCCCTCTTATCTGTTATGAGCATAGACCCATGAATTCTTTTTTAAAATGATATTTTTGTGTTAGTTTTCCCATATTTGGCCAGTGTAAGCTCCTTTAAGCTAGTTTCTGTGTTTTGTGATATACTGTCTTCATTTTTTTGTGCTCACCTACCTTACTTTGTGGCATAATGTGATGTGCCAAGATTATCTTACATTTGGGGCTGGGGGTTTAGCTCAGTGGCAAAGCGCCTGCCTGGCAAGCGCAAGGTCGTGAGTTCAGTTCCCGGTACCGGAGAAAAACCAAAAAAAAAAGATTATCTTACATTTACCATACCTTAGCTTTGGATCTAGGGAGTTCTGATTCCTTTTAATGGGAAATAGTATCGGGGATCAAGACTTACGCATTAGGTGCATCCTTGGCCTTTTCATTAGAAATAGCAAGGAAATGTGTATATATATGTGCGTACATATAAACATACATAGATCAATTTGATGATCGAAGACCACAGACACATGCTTCAGTTGAGGAAGCCATTAAATCCGTGCTGTGCTGAGGATAGGTGCTTTAATCTCACTAAGTTCTTTTTTATTGAAAAACTTAGGAAGTTTTAGACATGGGGGATTATGTGATGTACAGACTGATAATAATGTTCACGTCTTACAGTCTAGTAGAAGGGATAGCTAATTTCACAGATAATTTCAACATATAAAGAGGTATTATTGGTACCTTTCTATGTGGACTTGCATGTTCATGTCATTAGAGGATGATAGGACATTTTATGAGAAGTAGTCCTGTTCTGAGGAGAGCACTCTAGGTTAATGATTGCCTAGAGGTGGGAATATGCTTTTGCCTGGAGAGTGTCCAGATACAACTGCATCGTCATTGGATAAACAGTTTCGGTGTAGATATTAGAAGAAATATCTAGGAATTTACAATGATGTAGTTCATGTTAACCCATTTTATTTACACAGAATTGTTAAGAGAACTCCTTTACTGTGAGAACTTTTATCACTAAAATCTCCTTACTTAGCACAGTGCCTCTTCTCATTTAGAATGCTTTGATGAAGTTGACCAGTGTCTGTAGACACACTTGTTTATAGAGAACTGCCCAGTTTGAATCACAAGTTGGTTATTTGGTTTATGTCCCTAAACCTTGGCTTGCTGACCTGTAAGATTGAGGTAGTAGTATGTACTATAGAGTTGCTGGTGAAAAGATGATTGAAAATACATCATTTGCTTAGTACAATGCCTAATATGTAATAAATGATCATTACATGTCATGAGTTATTTCATATACTAGCTTTATCAGAAAAGGAAATAAGTTACTTCAGCAGACCTCAATACTTTTTTAAGCAGACCTAATTCTCATTGAGCGCTTGCTGATGTGTTTTCACTTAAAAATTTAAAATTGATTTTATTTGTACTCTGTATTTGTAGCATATAGGCAGTGAACTGTCCAGCCACTTAATGATTTGACCTTTAGCTTTTTTTCGTGAAAATAATCTTCACAAAGTTTTTGTTGTGGAGATCAAATGTAATATGTAACCAGAGTATTTCAAGCTAGTGTGCTGTTACAGGAATACATTCTAGATACCTAACAACTGGTACCTTCCCCTTTCATGTTTAGTCCTGAGAATCTGGAAAGCTCAAGATAGTGTGTATCTTAGACACATTCAGAGGGACAAATCATAAACATTAGGATTTTAGAACCAAAAAGAAGTTTATAAATCCCCTAGTAAAATTGAACCTCCTAGTGAGCTGGTTTCTACTGTTCTTTCTTAGAGCCTCACTATGCAGTTCAGACTGGCCTCAAAGTTACAGCAGTTCTCCTGCCTCTGCCTCCCAAGTGCTGAGATTACCAGCATGCACCACCATGCCCAGCCCATTCTTGTCTGCGTTCTCTCCTGACTTTGCTTTTTTCTTCCTAAAATGTATCTATTGTTTTCTTTACATACTTAGGTATAGCAAGGTATTTAGTACTTAGTTTTATCCAGGCATTTTTTTTTTTTTAGGTAGTAAAGCCTTTTTTTTTTTTTTTTTTTTAATGGGCGGGTCTCTGCATTTAAATGTTTTTGAGACAAGGAATTTACTTTGTTTGGCTGTGAGATTATTGAGGATGAGGCCCTTAAAATGCTCTCAGGAGAGATTTTACATGGACATCTGGAGTTAGATATTCTGCACATTGCTCCCATCTATCTTTTATAAATGTAGCCTACTTTTAAGCTTGAGCGCTGTGCTTGGTAAAATACTATGTTACTCTAATAAAGGTATAACTTTATATGAACAAAACCTTTAGAGGGCCTAAGAACCTGTTTTTGTTTTCTGTTTTACATTTGTAAAACTATACAAACTGGTATTAGGATTAAAAGATAGCAGCTGCCATTGTTGCCAGACCCTAGGCACACAAGACTTTTTAGATAATCTGAGAAGGTAAAGAAATAGGTAGTCCATTACCAAGAGAATCATCTGAGCTCCTTACTGTTAGCAATAACATTTTGTACCAGATCAAGAATCTGAAGTCACTTTGTTAGCTATATCTAACAAGGATTAATAGTTTGCCCTTTGCATTTGGGAAGTACAGCATTCTGAGTCCTTTACTAAGTTATTTCCTCCTGCTAATAATGGGTTAATTATAGTTAAAAGAATTATTTTTCTCAAAAGTGTTTGAAAGCAAGCCAGGTGTGGTGATACAGATCTGTAATCCTAGTACTCTGAGAGGCAGAGAGGAGAAGAGCTAGTTGAAGCTCAGCACAGGTAATTCAGCAATTTAGCAAGACCCTGTCTTTAAAAATTTAGAGGTCTGGGGATGCAGCCCAGAGGTCCAGAATTCAACTCGTAGTACCACCACTCCCAACAAGTATTTGAAAGCAGTATTTTCCTGCTCATTAGCATTGTAAAATTAGAATGTGTTTCTTAAAGATAATACTGGAAATTAGTCTCCTGTTACACTTCTTTGTGTGGATATCAGGGGATACCTGTAACAAACATTGTTAACTTCACCACAGTACCTACAATTTTTTTCCCTCTTCTTGAAATGAAGGTTCTTAAATCTTACCCAGGGTTTGGAAAATAAGAGGAAGTGATTACTCTGAATGCAGCAAGATGGGCATGTTGCACTTTTGTAAGTAGTACACTTACCTAAAACATCTCGCAGTGTTAGGAAATTGAAAAATATACCATCCTGTGGTTGTGTTGTGGGCAACAGAAGCCCGTTTGTTTTGACTTAAGCAGAAGGAAATTTATTGAAAGAATATTGGGAGTTCACAAGATCAAAATGTGGAGAAACATTTGGAATGGCCAAGACCTGAGGGAGTTCAGAAGGGTGAAAAAGCTGTGTAGTTGATGTACTTCAGTGATTCAGATTCTTCAGAGAGGCATTGAGGTTGGGTTGAATATTATGTGGTTTTGAAGATTGGCTGGATTTGATCTTTAGGAATGGGAGAAGGAATGTAAGGAAGGAAGTTTACAAACTTCCTTGTGCCACTGAACTATATCCCTGACCCTTTTAGTTCACTCTTGAAGGACTTGGATGAAGGCCACTTATTACTCTTCAGTTCCTAGTTTGGAAGGAAGTTGGGGGGCTGTTAGTAAAGGATGCTAGCGTAAACAAAACAAAATACCTATTCAGTTAGTCCCTTAACCTTACCAGGGAACACCTACTTGGAGACCTATGGCGGCATGCTTAAGGTTATGGGAGGTTTTCTTTTGGG